CGGGTCGTTCGACGACAAGTCACGATGAGAACAACAAGGAAAAAAGCGACGGTCAATCAGAAAATCCAAACAACCGAAAAAGAAATCGAAATCCCGCCAATGATAGGGCCAACGAGATCACCCAGAGCTCCCTAAAACAGAAAAAAAAGAAAGCAGCGTATGCCCAACATTACAGGAAAAATTATAATTACAAGTGAAAAAGACATGAAATGATGTACCAGCACGGCGGCTTCAGGAGAACGTACTTCTCGATCATTACTTACATGGATAGGAACCCATAAAAAGTTGAGGTCAACTGAGNTGCAGCTGCTACTTCCATTTCACGAACAAAAAGCAACAACAAGATTACTGCAAAATACTCACCAATGCCAATGCCATAAATCCGAAGCACCGGAAATCCTCGAACAGCAGCAAGAACAATCAGCTGGAACGAAATGAAAACAAAACAGACACCTATCACCTATCCACAAAAGAAAGTGCTTTTTGACAAATTAAACTAACGCAATATTCTCAGTGGTTCCTTAGACGAACATTGGAGTGTCCTATCTACAAATAGTATACATCACGAAACACACAAACACAAAATGTCGAAATTCGAAAACAGATGAAAACAAGAAAAAACTCACCAATCTTGTGCACCAGGAACTGCAGCATCAATCCGTCCAGAGAACACCAATTCAAACGGGAAACCGGAGAACACTAACATCAAATAACAAAACACATACACAGGCTCGGTTAATACATCACATAGTCGAAGACAAAACGATACACCTAATCGATCAGCAATGATAACGCATCAACTGTAAACAATTCAGATGTCCCTATCACAATGTACATCATCGAAAATAACTAACAAATTGGCGGACAAAAATGAGCATCAACTCACCACAAAACAAAAAGGATTCGTCTACGTCGCTTCATTCCGCAAACGGAGAATAACGTAGCCTGGAAAAAAAAGAACACTTGTAACATGGAAAAACGTCCAATAGCAACTCGTAATGATACAGAACAAAAGTACCGGGATAACTACACCGGTACAATACACACAACGCGTCTCACATTCAAACACGTCCACAAGCACAAAATGAACAAGGCCACGAACATATTCATCATCATCATCGCACAGCGAAATGCAGTGAGGCGAACTTCACTGATCGTTGCCAAACTCACAATGCAGACAAGATTAGTGGTAAAATTTAAGGTAAACAGGGATTGGACCTATCTTGAGGGACGGGGAAGAAGGTAAATCTCTATGGTCAACACACAGAGTACGCAATCGAAATCTGCATACACACCGGTTCAAGCATTCTGACGTGATAAGAAACAACAACAAAAACGTCACTACCATTTCTTTCAATGTTTCCAACCAACAGGTTGCGGAGTCTTTCCGACCCCAATCTGGAAGGCGTGAGACACCTACTCTACCGAATGGCTCTGTGCATTTCTTCATGCCTCGCCTGCACGACATCCGTTGACCTCCACGTGGTTTCCTCCAGCCCGGATTAGCTACAGCGAATAAGGCGAGGTGCGGAAGACGACAGTCGGGCATACGCCAGCGAAGCCTACCAATCCGAATTCGGTGTGCTAACAAGTTTATCCCTGATAAACTCCCAAATACACGACGACTTACCTCCAGATTACGGAGCTTCAGTTGCAGATGAAGCAACCTGGTTAGCAATAGGTCAGCTCAACTGTTCGCTGAAGTATTGCAATCAGCGATCAAGTCATTCATCCCTATCGTGAATAGCTTGTCCCATCTTATCGCAGACCGTTTCACTAACTGCAGTTCGCCGACCTCTCGTATTGCGTATCAGTCGGAACAGTCTTTGACTATCCCCTGATGCAGCTGCTACTTCCATTTCACGAACAAAAAGCAACAACAAGATTACTGCAAAATACTCACCAATGCCAATGCCATAAATCCGAAGCACCGGAAATCCTCGAACAGCAGCAAGAACAATCAGCTGGAACGAAATGAAAACAAAACAGACACCTATCACCTATCCACAAAAGAAAGTGCTTTTTGACAAATTAAACTAACGCAATATTCTCAGTGGTTCCTTAGACGAACATTGGAGTGTCCTATCTACAAATAGTATACATCACGAAACACACAAACACAAAATGTCGAAATTCGAAAACAGATGAAAACAAGAAAAAACTCACCAATCTTGTGCACCAGGAACTGCAGCATCAATCCGTCCAGAGAACACCAATTCAAACGGGAAACCGGAGAACACTAACATCAAATAACAAAACACATACACAGGCTCGGTTAATACATCACATAGTCGAAGACAAAACGATACACCTAATCGATCAGCAATGATAACGCATCAACTGTAAACAATTCAGATGTCCCTATCACAATGTACATCATCGAAAATAACTAACAAATTGGCGGACAAAAATGAGCATCAACTCACCACAAAACAAAAAGGATTCGTCTACGTCGCTTCATTCCGCAAACGGAGAATAACGTAGCCTGGAAAAAAAAGAACACTTGTAACATGGAAAAACGTCCAATAGCAACTCGTAATGATACAGAACAAAAGTACCGGGATAACTACACCGGTACAATACACACAACGCGTCTCACATTCAAACACGTCCACAAGCACAAAATGAACAAGGCCACGAACATATTCATCATCATCATCGCACAGCGAAATGCAGTGAGGCGAACTTCACTGATCGTTGCCAAACTCACAATGCAGACAAGATTAGTGGTAAAATTTAAGGTAAACAGGGATTGGACCTATCTTGAGGGACGGGGAAGAAGGTAAATCTCTATGGTCAACACACAGAGTACGCAATCGAAATCTGCATACACACCGGTTCAAGCATTCTGACGTGATAAGAAACAACAACAAAAACGTCACTACCATTTCTTTCAATGTTTCCAACCAACAGGTTGCGGAGTCTTTCCGACCCCAATCTGGAAGGCGTGAGACACCTACTCTACCGAATGGCTCTGTGCATTTCTTCATGCCTCGCCTGCACGACATCCGTTGACCTCCACGTGGTTTCCTTCAGCCCGGATTAGCTACAGCGAATAAGGCGAGGTGCGGAAGACGACAGTCGGGCATACGCCAGCGAAGCCTACCAATCCGAATTCGGTGTGCTAACAAGTTTATCCCTGATAAACTCCCAAATACACGACGACTTACCTCCAGATTACGGAGCTTCAGTTGCAGATGAAGCAACCTGGTTAGCAATAGGTCAGCTCAACTGTTCGCTGAAGTATTGCAATCAGCGATCAAGTCATTCATCCCTATCGTGAATAGCTTGTCCCATCTTATCGCAGACCGTTTCACTAACTGCAGTTCGCCGACCTCTCGTATTGCGTATCAGTCGGAACAGTCTTTGACTATCCCCTGATGCAGCTGCTACTTCCATTTCACGAACAAAAAGCAACAACAAGATTACTGCAAAATACTCACCAATGCCAATGCCATAAATCCGAAGCACCGGAAATCCTCGAACAGCAGCAAGAACAATCAGCTGGAACGAAATGAAAACAAAACAGACACCTATCACCTATCCACAAAAGAAAGTGCTTTTTGACAAATTAAACTAACGCAATATTCTCAGTGGTTCCTTAGACGAACATTGGAGTGTCCTATCTACAAATAGTATACATCACGAAACACACAAACACAAAATGTCGAAATTCGAAAACAGATGAAAACAAGAAAAAACTCACCAATCTTGTGCACCAGGAACTGCAGCATCAATCCGTCCAGAGAACACCAATTCAAACGGGAAATCGGAGAACACTGAGACGAAAGAAGAAAGCACATATACAGGCTCGATCACCGGGTCAAATAATCGGGTAGAAGAGTATAGGGGGAATCGGTCAGCTATGGTCACGCATCAGCCGTTTTGATTTCAGACGGCCCTATCACTATCATCAAATAGGGACTGTATTTGGAATTGATGTGATACGACCTCGTACTCACCAACTCTGTGTATACGTTCCAGTGTCTCGGTTGAGTTGAATGGGCTCACTATTTGCTGCTTCGGTGAAAACGCAACAGAGGAGAAACGATCGTTGTTAATCTCGAAACGCTGCATTAGATATAGCATAAGAGAAAAGTGTTATACGAAAACCTCGCAAGTGGAAAAAAACACTTATTCAGATTGTTAATCATTCTCAAGAATGTTTTTACTAGTCATTGCCAATTGCGAATGGAACTTTTATTCGACTAATATAAATCGCAACGGAAATCTCAAAATCAAGCGAGGCTGTCGAACTCAGTCACACAACAAACCTCAGACTCTGCACGGTTTACACTGATCCATCTAGCTGTCGTTAACTATTATTCCAGGTTGCTTCATCACGACAGTTGTTCATCAGGACCACTGTGTTGAGCGATCATTGCAATTGCATGAGAGATCACACCAGTTGTTTCACGCAATAGCCGGTTGGTTATTTTCAATAACTTGTTGTCACACAATGATGCATAAGTTACGTCCCACCAATGGCCCGCAAACAACATGCTTGATAACACAAAATTAGGCGAACAGCTTTGAGATTGAAGTTTCTAATGTGAGTGGAATACAAACTGATACAGCAAAATACCAATGTATCCAAATTTCCAAACACTGCACGCAACTAGCGCTGGACATGCACTTGTGTGAAACTTGCACATCACAATCATTAGTGGTAATTTGATACAAGATTTCCTCTTATCATTTCTCTCATTCTCGTACTTCTTGTCATAGAACAGATAGTCACGTTATCGTCTGTTAGGAGGAAGAAATAGTTAAATCCAAGGATTGAGAAAGATCGTGAGTAGCTCAAAGATTTACTAAACTATCTTCTGTTGTGAACGAAGCGACATTCACCAAAAACCCATTGATGCTGAGTAACAGACAGATGAGCAGAAAAATGCAATCGGCATTGTTCTATGTGAGGCTATTGTTACATTCACAAAACAGCTGAATACAGAGTAAAATAATGATAGGACAGATACCTGGATCTATTCAAAAAATGTTAACCATAAACCACTTAAATCAACAGTAACGGAGCAGAACCACAGAATTTCACTACGGTATCACTGAAACGATAAATCCACCAATACCATTTGCCAACTGCTTTATAGCAGTAGGGCGGAGTTTCAAGTAACTCTCGCTAGAGGGCTTTGAGATGAGATTCGATTTCAGACTTGCAAAAGCCAGTCAACAAGGATGATCGACAGATTAGCTATCACTCGACTTAATACCATACCTATTTCATTAGGATTGTAGTTCGTCAATCTAAATAATAATAATAAAAATAAAAATAATAATAATAACAATAAGGCTTTGGTTGCCGGTTATCGTAAGTGAACAGCAGCTCTGCAACCTAAGGACTTTACGTCTTTTACCGTTCTTTGAAAGTAATCATCTCAAAAATTGACTGTACATGCGCTACATGCAGAAGAAAAAGAAAACCACGGTGCAACGCACAAAAGAAGAAAATTCAATGGACAAAAAAAATGGAGGGTAGTATATTTACCGAATAGAAACCTTGAAGAGGATCGACAAACTTTCCGTTCTAAATCACACGTTAATGAGTGACAAAATATGGAAATACCTAATATAATAAATGCAAAACACAAACATTGCACAAACAGCTACTCCAAGCAAGCGTACTAATAACAAAAGAAACTGAACACCCAATCAATACGCGGAACTGGTGCATTATTAACTTTGTGTAACACACGGCAAGCTGCTCTGCTGCTCCCATTGGAAATCCAATGACGAAAACGCCCGCAAGTAGGTAGTTTGTCGCCCGCCGCCGCCTGCTATGCGTTAACAACACGATATTCACCGGTAATAGGTACTCCAGGGACAACAATCATTCTCGTCACAGAATCCAGGATAACTATCTGCATGTTTGACGTTTTTCGACCTGAAATGGTTGGTCAATGCGGGGCCGCAATTAGCACGAATAGATACTCACCTTATAACGGATAGGTTGGCAGAATACTTCCTGGTCTCGGTAACCCGAATAAACGATAAATGAAGGAAGGTGAAACTTGTGCATTAGGCGCATGCAATCGCCCAACTTGAAAAATATCTCCGCGTCACAACACCCATACAGCAATCGGATGACAGTGGTTTTTGGATCTCTCCTCGAAGCTCTTGTTTGCACTACTGGTGGTAATCCGTTTGTTTATTGCAGCTTTCGTAAATCCCTTCACAAAAAGAACTGGCGAATCACCGGTCTTGTACTTTTGATTTCTCGATCAGATTTTCCAGGTCCAAAAGTCAAGGATTTCGAATCTTCGGTGTTCCGTATGAGTCACTATCATGTCTCCGGAGATGAATGCACAGTTCAATCGACGGGTGGAAAAATCAGTTCACAACAAAGCATGTATTTTGGATCCAACAACACTGATGGAACACCATTATCTGTTCAGAAACATTTTTAACACGGAGAAACATCTAAACGTCCGGTCACGCCGTTGATTCAACATTAAGTGCGCAGAACCCAAAGCACAAGTTTCAGATCCTCTGAAGGCACTGGCGACGTGCTACCTACACTAAACTGTCAAGGTCTATATGCAACATATAGCTAGGGCAGCGCAGGCGATTACAGTGCAATATCTGCTATGCTCCACATGACACCCGTGATCGGGGTCACAAGAATGCGTGCAACGCAAAGGCATAAACCGGGGTACGAGCTCGCTTAGAATTTCGAGTAAAACCAGTGTGATTCACCTTGTTTCCAATCAACTTGTGTAATATCTCAACCTCGTATTAACCAATTAGTGACTACATAAAACTTCGTGACCAATAATACAGGTATCGCGAAAAAGCGATGAGTAACATCCAGTGTCGTGAAAATTTTACTGTCTGGAGTAGACTAATGCTACCCGCTCAACGAGCTTTCACTGAATAATGTCGAATTGGGGTAAGCAAAATGAATAGGGGAAACAGCAGGCTTTTGTTCTTGACCGCTTGTACCCTTCCGTTTTTATCAACACTGTAGGCATGTTCGAGCTACCCAGATTATCGAAACAGATGAAAACCGTAGGCAAGTGACGACGTAAAACGATATTTCAACCCTTAAACGGACGAAGTAGTCCGCATCTATCCCTCAAAATGTGAAGGCTCGTAAACGGTTACATGCGTGCCCGTGTGATGTCGCCACCAGGATTCAACCGCCACGTTAAAAACCGCTGTGATGCTTTTGATTCTCACTTACCTGTTTATCGCTTCTAAATTGTTAAATTTGCTCTCAGCCATCCATCATACGAACAAACTTTTTCCCGATGTCCTTCATTTCCTGGTTTGCCCTAGGGGATTTTTATCATCCCCCTCGCATAAGTCTTAATTTTGCACCACTTTTCAAAATAACAGTTAAGAGGGAATGCTTCGCTTTTTGTCATTTGACCAAAGTCAATTTAAGGAAAAATCAGAAGATGAATTTCGTCGTACAGAGGAAAGTGGAGTGAAATGTGGGAAACAATCTTGATATCGTTCAACATCTCTCTGCCCCCGTCAACATTTGATACAAGCACGCAGCTGCACACCATCCATCGAGAACCCTGAGAAGCGCTTTGTCAAGCGCAGAAGCATACTTTACAGACATTCCGGCAAGCCGGAGCATAATTTGCAATTTATCTCTGCAACCTCTTGTCCATTAATAAGGCATTCTCGGCCTTAGTCTACTCGAAAAACCACAAGGTTTACCTACCAGTTCGCCTCCAACTACACCCTGTCCGACTTGCTCATCTCCCCTCCCCCACCTGATTGCTCTGAAAAACCACCTCAATTATTTTCACCAGATACGGAAGGTTCTGCAACTACTTACTTACTGCTGTTCTACTTCAAGCAAGAAGTTGCTTAAAGCCTAAAAGTGTTGCTTGATTACGTTGCTGCATACAGAAGACCAGAATTAGTTGACAGGCACAAAGAAATATGGTATCACGGGACCGTCTGACAAGCAAGTATTTTGCCTGAACGGCTGAATTTAAGCTTTACCATGAAATTTCTCACGGAGTTCGGTTTTTCCAAAGAGCAGCCCATCTCCATCTGATCAAACGCAATCGCTTCTCTAATGTTAATGCCCAAGTCCTTTGGTGCCTCATACTTTCTCGCACACCTATTCATACACAACTCTCCTTAAATCTAAAGCCGATGCACGCCTTTGACCCTGAAGTCACTCTTCATGCCCTATAGATCTAATCCGTTCCCGATGGGCCATCGCCAAAATAAATTAACCGCACCCTTCGTTCTGACATAGGTCTCATTTCCGTTAAAATCTATCAGAATTTTCCTATAACCACGGTCACTGTCTTGTTCCGTACATAACGACTGTTCTTCTTTGCCAATGTAGCTGTACTATGCTCAGTATTGTTCAAGTCTACGGGATTGCTTATCGACCTGAAGATCTTGAAATGTAACTTGCAGTCACTAACCTTTGCTTTTGCTTTGTTCTATCAGTCAATAAACGCGGATGAAAAAATGGCTCTATTTCAAAAAGGCAAAATTGACGCCAAAATACCTTGAACTTAGTTGCAACCCACGCAATTTCAGTGACCGCGCAGAATAACACAAACCGTGCATTGGCTAATGGATTATGACCTTTTAATAACCTTTCCACATCAAGCGATTAGGCTAGCGGGTGGTGGTGGCCCGGTGGTAACGTCACCAAATTATCACCCCGGGGATGTGTTCGAATCCCACTACCACCGTCTAACTGTCCCCATTGTGTGTTGAACAGCAGCCCTTTGATTGGCCTCTTCCCCTTTCTTGAAAATTGTCTTTGTATACAAGTAAAATGCAAAGAAAAAGTCGTGACACTTCTTCACATTCTTTCTGTTTGAGGATTCGTCCAGGCTTTTATGGTATCTAATATTTTCCTGATTGTTCTGTTCCAATTTCTTTAGACCGGACGTTGTACTCCTCTCCGAAATCTCACATTCCTGAGTACCTGAGAAAGAACCCACTGGGAGCATCTAACGTTCGAACTGTGCTTATTCAAGCGAAGGAAGTTGTGGCTGAGACAGAGCTTGTGTAGCGTTGATCCATCACAGGAACCATTGATATCCGCTGTTCCGGTCCGTTTTATCAATAATACTTCGTCGTCGATCTTTACCGTGCTCCCGTTGTTCCTCTCCAATCGGCGAATCCAATGCCTGTCTTCACATCCACAAAGCTCTAGCAGTTCACCGTCTCGGTTTCCCAGATCTCCGCATTCATATGAACTGCAAAACATCGATTGACGCCAACTGCCCATAAGATTAGTTGATCTTCTCGAGTGGCGTCATTATTGGATCCGATGGCTGGTTGATCAATAACACGTGTTACTTTTTACCAACTCCTGCGAGTATCCCTCAACCGATCACAGTTTGGTCGAACATGTGCTGCTTTTGAACACCGTTTGAAAGTTTGACAACTCCAACGAAGAGGGGCGAATCCACATTCCGTTGGGTGGGTGGGGGGCTCGTTCGAACGTGAATTTCGTTTTTTCTTTAACCAAACGCCTTTGCTGTTGCACCACCCACATATATATATATATATATATGACAGTGCCAAATAAATCACAGTAATATAAGCTTCATAAAAACGAAAATAGGTCCCATGATTTGCTTGTGGTTGCCCAGGCTAAGGCAGATGAATTTTCTTGGTTAAATGAGTTCTCAGGTGCCATATTTCCTGACCGTAATCATTTTCTATTTTAAGAACTACAAACTGCGGGGTAGCTTACCCCTCTATCCTCCAACTAACAGCAATTTTCATATGCAGAATCGAAAAACTGGTTCTCGTTTGAATGTGAAAGTTTCCGAGTACGGTGTGGCTTGGGAATGCTGGAGTTTACTTCTTATAATATAATGAAACAACGAAAATACAGCACCAAGTGCAAAGGCTTGGCCGAGAGTTGTTTGATTCCACGGCATCTACCTGGGTTCACATGGACTTCACCTTCTATGCATTAATTGTGTCGTGGTTTCGAGAAGCGATGGCACGGAGAGTTCCAGGGAGGCGTGTTCTGCACGCGAGGCCCGAAACTTGTTTCCTCGTTTTGACGCCCTGACGACACTTTGTATTGAACGGGTAGATAGTGTGAATTTGGTGGGAGTCAACTTTGCTGTCGTCCGGTTCAATACCACACCTAACCTAGCGGGGCCTTATGTGGTTCGCCACTCTAAGTCGCGGAGCTTAGGTCACCGGTTTCCATTACTGAACAGGTCCTCGTGATTATGGGGTTCGCCCCGTCTGCTATTCATCACACGAAAGTGTAATAAAAAAATAATCGATGGAAGGTTTTGTACTTCCGCGGAAATGAATACACATGGTATTAACAATGTACCACCTCCGTTATCATCCAGAGTCAGTCCGGGGTTACTTCTAGCAGCGAAGAAAGTGGTATATTACCAACCAGAAAACAAATTTAATTCATATACTGTTTTCCTTACACAACAATCTTTTATCAAAATTATTGTATCATGATTTTTTTGGCACAGTGTGGCCTCAGACGTGATATATATATATAATATACACATTATATATACATATATATGTATTATATATGCATATATGTATACCGCGTGTGTAAGCTTGTTACAGTACTCCTTCCGCTCCCATGCCTCTTCACCTAGATGAGGATAAGTTGAATTCATGAGGGAAGCATTTAATAAAGTACTGTGTTACAAAAAGATATTCATGGAACATATGAAACAATTCATGGAGGCCAGAAAGGGTTCGATCAATTGGGAGTGGAACTTGTTCAAATTGACGCTTTTGGCAGTCATACATCCCAGAATTTGCTGAATCCACATCACGTGCACATAAACGTATCCAAGACACTGCGGTGGAGCTGAATCTGCATAACACGCCCTTCACGTCTGACTGGATGAACAGATCAAGAACCATTGAGCAAATATATCTTCCTTTCCGCTTTCGTTGGGGAGAATGCCGTGTTCATTGATAAGCAGACTGGGATACTGTGTTCGTTAGGACTGGGTGTTTGAAGATGGCGTAGGTTTGGAGTCGACATATGGTGGAGGACACGGTTAATCCCATGACGAGCAGTTCCTCGACGTTAAACTGCAGTTCAAAACGGGGACATTCCGTGTGCCGGGAAAATAAAGGTCTCTTGTTTTGTTCGTTTTTCCTCTTCAAGAAACTGTCTGATTCCCCAAAACAACCTTCAAGGTAACTCACGAGTGCACACTAGACCGCCATTTTTCTTCATTTCCCCGACAAGTATCACATTCGAGCAAGAAACTACATGAAACATGTGGACTGGAATTGTCCCCTCGATAAAAAACAGGACGGAATCACTTTTTACCCAACCGGCGAACAAGATGTTTCCATAATCAAACGATGGATTCAGGAGACTGGCCTCAGGACGGATAAGCTGCAATTGACAGTATTGTAATCCTGATGAATTAACGCAAATTCATGATAAGACGGTTTGCACTTAGAATAATGAGTAATCTTCAACGGCGATGGCGTGAACTGAGTTCCATTCATTCTTGTGATAACAGCTTTCTAAAAAATTACCCGTAGCGGATAATTTTTTCTCATGAATAGATCACGGTTTGCTCAATGTATCGAAAGTAATACTAAAACCTCACCTCTCGAGGGTGAATTGTACATCCCCGTACCTTTTAAAACCAGAGTCGACTATTAGAGGTGTAATCGTAAGATACTTGCGTATGTCATTGGATCTAGAGCCATATATAGAGCTATACAATGTCAATCCGAATGAAGGATTGACATGAAGGATTGGATTGAAGTCCGGTTCAATACCACGCCTAACATGTCGGGGACCTATGTGGTTCGCCACTTCAAGTCCAGAGGCTTAGGTTGCCGATTTTAATCACTGAACAGCAGGTCCTCGTGACTATGGGGTCTGCCTCGTCTGCTATTCATCACACCTAGGTGTGTAATTAAAGGTGTATGCTAGTGGTTGGGACCCCCGGATCTTAGATAGTTGGATTCCATTGGTGAACAGTAGGTCCAAGTGACTACGGCGTTTATTCGTTCTGCCACTTACAAAAGTGGGCAATCAATATGCATCGTCTCGATTTCAATACTACTTTTGGCATTAACTCCGATTATTATCAGTTCAGTGGTTGGCCGAAAGACAGCAACCGAACTTGTGAACAAAAGCGTTAGATCGAAGGTTGACAAAGTGTGGGGTGTTTTGTTCGGTAATGAATCACAGGAAATAGCCGAATCCTACGATACGTTCCAAACCGATGTATGGTGTGGTCGTGCCACCCGATTTGAACAAAGAGTACAACGAGTAACAAGTGTATTTGGATAGCAATATGTACAGCACCATAAAATAACGAATGAGTGATTCAATAACAATTTAAAGTGATCACTTCCACCGATTAGCCTCTGAACTACGATAGGGTTGCCGCCCGGATGGTGTGTATACGGACTTCGACGGATTTGGCGTAGAGAAACGATCCGATGAGCGACCAGTACGGTGCACAGTCTGATAATCGCGTCGAGGAACAGAGAAATCACTGCCAGATTGACGTCTGGGTCTACTGGTCCTTTCATAACCGCGCCGATTTGTGGTACTGTCAGCATCCTGAGGGTGACTGGACTTTGGGGAGCGGCGATCGCGATGGTTTACAGCTGCGTGATTATTGAGTGGCCGACTTGATCGGGATATCTGATAGTCACGAGTGTTTGAAGAACTACCATTATAGCTCGGATAACGATTGTCCATGCGGCTTCGACGGGCACCTAATAGAAAAACAGGTTTTGGGGATCTTTATTAGAATGGCACCACGCAGGACCATTCAGGCAAACAAAGGGACTGAAATTATTCTTCGCACAGATTTTTACTATAAAGTATTCTTTGTCAAACAGCGGACATCGCCATTAGGAATCCAAAACGATATACGCCGAACTGAAGTATGACGACACCTTTAACCAGCTGAATACAAACACCGTCCGGGATCCGGTCTCAAGTACATCCATTGTACCCGGTTGTTGAATTCCAATGACCTTTATTTGAACACCTACGTCGTGACACAACGGCCTCGCTGGTCGGAGATCACCGAAGCTGTGATTAGTTTTTGTCTCGTAGAGTATGGTTTCTGCTACGTTGCAGCAAATAGTTTGAAGAATATGTTACGGTTTATCAGAAAAGAGAACCGTTCAATGACATTTACCAACCACCTAACAGTCACTACCAAGTTTGCAAATCGTCCTAAAATGTCTTAGAAGAAATCATTAAGATCGCGTGAAAATGAGAAAATAAGACAGCTCCAAAAACTCCTCATTCAGTGCTCACGTTTTAGAGGTGGACAATCTTGAGTCGTAGTAAATTGGACTGAAAATTTGTTCATTCGTTACCACAGTGCCAATTCTTCCGGACATTACTAACAAAGCAAAACCTTGCCTGATTTGATCCGTTATCTCCAATATCCGTAAATGCGTTGGGTCATGTCGGTGCGCCGTGATTGAACGCCAATATTCCTTTCTGGTCGTCGGCTCCAAATAAAGTATAGTATAACGCTTATTTTTTCAATCACTTTCTTTGTAATGTACACCCAGATATTCATTTGAAAGGGAACGTAGACGAGGAATACTGGTAGCCAACCCGTACAGTGATGCTCCTTAGTATGAGAGCATATACTCCATTCAATCACGTTACTCGACACTCAAAAACTGGTCCATGCACGCCCAGTTACGCCGCCGCACTTTGGTCTGTATCCAATGCATCGCAGTGCCCCGTTGATAAAACAAATATTTGCATTCGCATACTATGGCTCAAGGCCATTAAATATGCACCTCCGATTCGGCAATTCCATGTTGTACAAATTTAGTTACAACTTCTCAGCAAAGGCCAGTCCGATGAAAAAACCGAAGGCACAGGATAAACAAAGAAAGCAGGGGCTTCAACCAATGCGAAATCATACTACTCGAAATGTTAGGTTAGACAACGAAGGTTAAATAACAAAAAGGGAGTATCCTGACCCCTGAGCGGAAGAGTTCCTCACAGAAGCACGCCGCCCGTGACCCGAGTTTTTCTACTAGGCCAGAGAATGGATACCCCCAACGAATCCAGGTCGTTAAAAGCACCAAGTTAATGGAACGACACTCCAATCGTCACATATTAGATGGATGATCACTCGGCACCGTATATTGCTCCGATTTATTCACGTACGGAATTATACTGGTTTGACTCACGTGCAATAAGTGACTGAGGTTTGCACTCTGTGGAGTTTGATTGCAATCATCCCGTCAAGTTTGTGCGAAGCAAGCGGATAACATTCTTGCACTGATCCATGACATGTGCATCTGTTGCGCCCTAGTCGAACACTGAGTGGTCTGGATACCATCAATGCAGTCTGATGGATAAACCAGGATGGTCGAAAGAGTGAATTGCAAAACGGACATTCGAGAAGGTTGAAAAACATTGCTCCTGTAAAGCTCCGAAATCTGCACAACCCAAGATCCAACTGCTGATTCTTTCGGGCAACCGGAATTAAACCGATGACCGAACATCTGGAATCGCTTGACGTAAACCGCAAATGAAAGTCACCGCAGCGATGAAAAACAACTCCACGTAGCTCATAATTAAATAACGATCAGGAATGAGGTAAACAATGGCACTACGATCCAATATTCGTTGAATCGTCCTTGGGGAACCAGTTCGTCAATTTTATGTAGTGTAGGAATGGAGTTCCAGTGAACGACTCCAGATAATCAAAACACCTGGGTGGGAACGCCGTAGATAGCACTACTAAGATGTAGGAACAAGTGTAACGGGCCAAGGACAACAAATTGAAATTGATTGGAACCCTCCTCCCCTCCCCCCAACACACCCCAAAAAGCATATAAACGGTTGGTTTCATTGGTTTGAGACTTACCTTGACCACAATCGAACTGCCTGTCATTCCTTGAGGTTGTTCCCTCGGTAGTTTTCATGATCTTCGTCTCGGGGAAAGTGGTACGCGCATAAGAAGCCGGGCTGTGCGGCCGTTTCCGCCTAAAACATCGCACTTGAAGAAACCATACTTACTGCATGTTCGGAGTTGTAGGCACATTTGACCTGAAAGGTCGATCATTGCGCGCTCTATAATCCTCCAAGGACGGACGGGGTTTATGATCCAAAGGTCGCGAGCGACTATTTCTGTCGAATGAACGGTCAGCGAAATCGCGACCATAATCCCGATAATTCGGGCGTTGGTCCCTAAAACTGCCACGTCCATTCTGAGTCACACCGCGGCGGAATCCGGCTCTAGGACCAAAAGACCCACGATTTGTGGTCAGACGACCGGAAACCC